CTAGACAGAGGACAGCTTCTTGCAGCTGCACGCTGCCATGTGATCATGTGTAGGCCAGTGATAGTTGGGAAAAGTGAAAGGTACACTTTCTAAGTCATAATCTCAAAGATAAAGGTGGTATCCTCAACTGATCCACACCCCCACCAGAAATATAAGCTGCTTTTTTATTTTAACCACTTATTCTGGGGCGACTCTCTACTAAACAACACAAACTATATTGTAAGAAATGCATATATTAATGGATTTTAATAATTTAAAGAATGGTTAATATTAGAGGGCAGATAAACTAGCATAGCAATCAATGAATTCTTTACAATTTATTAAGAGACAAATTAGGTATCTTCACTAGTCCTATTATTTTCTGTAAAATTCCTAAAACAACTCATGTGTCCAAAATTGAAATAATATTCTATAATGTGCCACAGTAATAATGATAAACTTCTGAGCATTATCCAGGGGATAAAGAAAGGTTAGAGTAAATAAAATTTATCTAAGTTTATTTTTAATTGATAAAAAATAAAAATAAATTTTATAAAAGGCCAAGGAAAGCCAAGGATATAGCTCAACAGAATAAGTGCCTGCCTGGCAAGTCCAAGGCCCTAGGTTCAATTCCTGGTACCAAAAACAAAAACATAGCCAGGGACACCGCTTACTGACACAGTGCCTGAGTTTCATTCCCAGTACCAAAATACACACATACATATATATGGTCTTTTTAAACTCATACTTAAGGGGATAAAACAGACACTCTAAAACCCACCAGATAAAAGATAAACTTTTCAGAGCTTTCCATTAAGCAATTAAAAGTAGGACCTCATAGTAGGCACCCCAATAATTTTGTTCTCCTTGACTGAGAAATCTACTCCAACATATTTCTGCTAAGAATTAATCCATAAAGGACCTTCAGCACAGTGATTACAATAGCCTTAAAGGCAAATAATAAACTTAGTTTACTGGTTAAACACATCATGATATAGTAATGTTTCATCAACATTAGTTATGACAAAAACTTAGTAATGACAATAGCATTTGTCTAATAAACTTACTATTGTCATACACTGTTCTCATCATTTTGCGTATTTTATTTATATATAACCTTCACAAACATATGAAGTATGCATTATTTGGTCCCTTTAATAAACAAGAAAACTCAGGCACAGGGAGAGAAAATATCTTACCCAAGGTTACATACCTACTATGAGGCAAAGCTTGGATTTGAAGCTAGGTGTCTGAATCTATAGTTTACTACAAGGTACAGCCTTTGAAAGAACTCAATGACAAAGTTTTATGCAGCCATTTATAAAAAAAAAAAAGTTATAACATGCATGAAGGTTCAGACATACAAAGTGAAAAAAGTAAGATACAAAACTCACAATAAATCCCAACTCTGTTTAGAAAATTATACCCATGTATACATTTCAAAAAGGCTAGAAAAAGGTTACAAAATATTAATAATGGATACCTCTGAGTGATGGGACTACAGGTTACTTAACTTTCTTCAACATGTTGCCTATTCTAAGGCGGGGAAAAATATATTCTACCAAAAGGCTGTGAAAGTAGATATATCCCCTTTACCTTGTAATACTTTTTTCTTCTAGATAAAATGAAGCATTTTTATTGTTTAAATAAACATTTCACTTTTATTTATATAATGTTGTTATATATAGTCCTTCCTCTCCAACAGGATCAAAAACTGAATTTAGTATTTTGATACTCAAAACAAAAAGAACATGATCAAAGCTGTTGTCAAAAGAATAGATCTTTTTTTTGTTGTTCAGATAAATGAAAATGATCTATCAGAACATAGGAAACTGAAGTATATAAACCCTGATGTTCCAGACAGTCCTAATTCTGTATTTATAGTAATAAGATGTGTTCATGATACAGCCCAAATGCACAAAGTAGCACAGTATTTTCTAAACATCAAAACTAACTCTAATAAAGGTTACTAAAATATTATAGACCATGTGAGTCTCTGCTTTTTAAAGTAAAACACTTAAAAGTTCCCAAATTGTATTTCTGCTTAGTAATACACAGCTGTGACAAACCGCTTACTAAGGACAACAGGGTATTGCCAGGTTTTCAGTCTTCTAGAACTGACCACATTTTCAAATTAATAAACTCTGTAATAAAGTAGATTATCTCAAAGAATAACTTCTTTGTTATCCCTGTAAAGTAGCAAACAAAAAACTTTCTAAAAAATCAAGTGTCAATTTTTAAACTCATAGCACTAACCAAATTTAAACCTCTATTTATATATCAATACAAAACTTCCTTATGTTCCTTTCTTGTCTATACTGTAAGAACTTTAAAATTTTTCCAAAAGACACTATTTCCAAGGTATATAATTACCACTGCCATACACACATGCCAATTTTCCACTCTATAATCTGATCTTATCTAGAACATGTGCTTTGAGATGTTATGTTGTATATGAAGAGTATAATTATCAACTTTCGAGGCACCTTTCATCATTGCATCAATGTATTAGTATTCATTAACGGGAAATGACTGCCATGATTTATAGAAGCAGCTCAGCAAATATAAAGTAGATCTTTAAGGCCACTTGAATTTAGTTTTTTGTGTGACCTAATCTGGGCACTGAACCGCAGCCTGTTTTACTAAGCATTACAGTTTAATTCACAAAAAGTATGAAATACTATAATAAGCAAGTCTGCTAAGAGAGTCATCAGAATGAAATTAACCTTTAAATGTGAAACATATTACATAGTAAAACTTGAGAAATTCTAACGGAAATTTCCTTTTCAAAAATGTAAACTTCAAAATGCAACCATCATTACTATATCATTTGAGCTTTTTTTTTTTCAAACTGGCATTTCATGGGAATGAAGTCTATGAGAAAGTCAATTATCCAAGTTTTTCCTTTAAAACTGTATCAATTATAATTCATTTTCTAAAATTGTGATTAACAATTATGCCTCCTAAATACAGATTTGAATACCTCTGTGTGTATATAGTTTACATAAGAAAACGTATAATACATATGTAATATAATAAAAACATTTTTTTACATGTAGAAAGTGGATGCTTAAGTTTTCTATAGAAATAGTGTAAATATTGTATAGTTAGCGAATATCATGACTAACCTGAGTATCTAGTACTTAAGAATTGTCTTAGTACTCTTACTTAAAAATCACATAGAAAATTAAATCATGCCACAAAAGTATTACAGTGCTAGACATGTCTAATCAGAAGAGGGATTTTATCTACAGAATGGCAACACAGGTCAGACACATTTATTTCTAATAATCTATACATGGGTTTAAAATGAGGCTTCATAATGAATGCCCGCTTAGCTAACTTTAAAGCAAAACAATTTTTATTCAGGAAAATTATCTAGTTTATTTTTTCCTTCATCTGATAAAAGTCTAAAAGATCTCAAATGGATCAAAATGAAGTCTTTTATTTCAGCCAACTTACTACCATAAAGTCAATGGACAAACGAAAAACCACAACTTTACATTTACAGATTCACAAATCTTTTGTCTATAACAGTTACCTGGTAATAAGCATCAATGTTATTACACAGCTGATTGTAGTTACAACTAAAAAGTATCCCATTTTCAGTTAAAACAAGGTGCTATGCAAAATACTACCTTCTTCCCTCACCAGTATTCTCCTTAGAGACTTTCTTTCTCTTCAAATGGCAAACTCAAAAACACTATTCTAAATTTAAAGTGTTTTACTAAACTGGGCACTGTATTGCACTCCTGTAATCCCAGCACTCGGGAGGCTGAGGCAGAGGGACTGTTCCAAGTTCAAGACCAGCCTGGGCTACAAAGTGAGCCCAAGGCCAACCTGAACTACACAGGAAGATTCTGACTCAAAAAGACAACAACAACAGCAAGTATTTTACTGTGTTCTCACAATATGGTGATACATAAAATCACCATAGACTCTAATGTTATAAATATCTTGGATGACCATTTTCAAATTTTGTAGGTTTTGCAAATGACTGTCATCCATATGTATATATATATATCCCTTTATTAATGCCTCCCTGTAACTTATTTTTTACAAAATGGAAAAGGAGTCAATGAATAAGTGCACACACAGTTTTATTAAGCATAACTGCGGCAACTGACACTATGATAGCCTTGCAATTAAAGCTTCAACTGGATTTTCATCTTCATAAGTGAAAAGCAATTATAATATTGATAAAATCATATGAGAAAATGCTTTCAAATGAATATTTCTGAATAAAAACATTTTCTTCATTATATTTGCTTAGTCCATTATTAATGTGCATCCTAAGCACAAGAATGGTGGCTCAGTACAGAAATATGAAAACAGTATAAAAATCTAGTCTTTAAATACTAATCCATAAAAACAGGTATTTGAGTGGGTATGTAGTATTACTAAGGCTGTATACTACACAACATCTCTAAGAATTAACTATTTAGGAATTTATTTGTATAATTGTAGACACATTCACTAGAAAAAATAAACTTTATGAAGTTATTATTTGATATTAGCACAAAGCCACTGTCCTCAGAATATTACACTTAGAATTAGAATAAATACTACAACTAGGCACATATAAAATATAGAACACCTAAAGAAACATTCTATGTAAGAAACCATTAGAAACACTTTGCCTTTCCTATATATAGATACAGTACAAAGAATTTTAAGAACTGAAAGTTTAGTCATTGCAGTTGTTAAAAAATTAACATTTTTCCACATGGTACAAATGCCTAGGAATAACAAACTTCCTCAAATCATTTTAAGACAAAACTAAAGTGCATATTAAAATATTAACCACGCATTAATAATGGACATGCTCCAAAGAACAGTAGAGACACACAAAAAGAAAAAAGAAAGGTCAAATTCTCCTTATACACAGGACAAATCCTATATAAGCAATGCTTCTACACATAGCTCCACAATGAAGCTATCTCAAGAAAGAATTGCAATCGTTACCCATTATCTGCCACGTTAAAGTTTTGTACCATCAAGATTACGTAAGGCCTGCATACCAAGTTCATCGTGCAAACTGCTACCGCCTACAGCAGATGCATTGTCATGTGATGCTTCTAAGTGGACACTCCCATTTCTCACCAGCAAGGAGGCACTAGCACTGAGCACTGCAGCCTGAGAAGGGGGACGGGACTGGACTTTGACCTGGGCTGTGGACTGCTGGCCTTGCTGACCATCTTGAAGGCTAGGAAAAAACATGGATTGGGGAGACATTACAGGGAAGAAAAGAGAAGACAACAACTAGAATGAAATCAATGTAGAAAACTGATTTCACAAAGATACTTTTTCAACATAACCTAACAAGGTGCCAAGAAATCCAGCAAAATACACAAATTGCACTGACAACCTAAATGCTCTGGTTCATATTAATTTGATCCATAATGATGAACCCAGTAAACATTTAATATATATGTAGACTGTTTAATCTGCTATTTTCTTCCATCTGAAGGCCAATTAAATTCTAGTGTTAAGGAAACAGAAAACAGCAAAGAAGAACTGTGAGTACATTCAATATATATGCTGGAGATGTCCCCAATAGTGAGCCCCATTTTGCAGTCTGAGTCTCGGAGTACCACTAGAATTTTCTTTCAAATATTCTGGGATCTCAAATTCACAATAAAACAAAGTTCTATGTACTTGAGGATCAAAGAATCTTTCAAATGCAACCAATATGACAATTTTAAATTAAAAAAAAAATCACTAACTACTGTAAGACCCAGAAAAACTTACTTAACCAAATAAAAACAGATCATTGGGACAGTAACAGAAGCAGACAGATACAAAGCATTATGTGTTAAAGGCCTACTTATTAATGAAATAATTGCCACACATTTTATATACCAAACGTTAGTTGCCAATTATGCTCCTTTAACAAATTTTGTTTTCTTTTTCAATCATATTACAGCTTCACTAACAGAGCCATCAGTTTAAAAAAGCTTACTAATTTGGAAACCTGTGATTTCTCCAAGAATATTCTATCTTTTCTAGATTTATAAAAACTTTAAGATATTAAGTGTATTGTTATAAATTTATTATTTATTAAAATTATTTACAAGATTATTTGATTTTTCTATATTAATTCATTTCTTATAAATTTAGTGTAATACAAAATTTATTACACTATGTAGTCAAATTTAAACTGATGAAGTTCATGAAAACATTTTCATTACATTATAATTATTTTCCTCATGATGTTCAATACAACACTGCCTTCTATCAATTTAAGGTTACTTTAAATAATCCCAGAGAGTATGTTACTAAAGCAGATTTCTAGAACAAAATGGATAATCTCATTTTTAATGATTTTCAATTTGTCTCTAATCCCTTGCATTCAATATAATGGTTTTTCTGGTACCAAAAAACAAACTATCTGCTATAGATTAATCATGAACTAAAAGGCTAAGTAGAAAATGCTGCATACAGTATTTGGCTTAGCCTTTTGGTTATGGCAATGGAATAATCTGGACTATATGTCTAATATAGTAATCTGGGAGCGTTTAAATGAAAACTTTTAGCTCCTCAGTCATACTGACCATTTCAAGTGCTCAGTAACCACACAACTATTGACAGCGAACACTAACAGCCTATCTATGTTGGCTGTTACTAGCAATTAGCATCACCATATTGGATAGTTCAGATTATAGAACATTTGTTATCACTGTGGAATGCTCTATAAAATACCAACAACAGTCATTTTTCAGGCCTTTTCTAGAGCTATAAAAATACACATTCTCAGCAGAGTATAAGAATGCACACAATGAGCTGGGTGTGGTGGTGCTTGCCTGTAATCCACGCACTTAGGAGGCTGAGGCAGGAGGATTAATAGAGTTTGAGACTAGTCTGGTCTATATAAAGAGTTAACAACTTTGGATTAGAACTTTGTACAATATATGTAAATCAAGAGATGATACTGAGAACAAAGTTTTTATCTTCCTACATATATAACTGATGTGTTACTCTTCCACAGGAGCTATTTAAACTTATTTATAAACCTTACCAAAATAAACCAATTTCATGAGAGAACATAGAAAAAAACATTTAAGTAGTTCAGTAGTATATCCTTTCAGGTTCAGAAGAGGGTGGAATTTTATAGAATACGTATTCAGCAAAATTTTCTATCAATTTTTTTCATTTAAAGTTTTAGCTAAGATGCAATTAGATAGATTTTAGTGAAACATTTTTAAGAATGTACTATCTTCAATCCAGAGATGCACTATATATCCAAATATACAAAATGTTTTCAAAATGCTATTCTACACATAAAAATCAACTCCAAAATAAAAAAAAAATTAGCCAAACTCTGTGATTATAATGTCAAACTCTTTTTTAACTCCAAAATAAGATGTTTACTTCCCATTTTCAAACACTTCAACAACAATATAGCCTGTCATTTTTGTACAAATTGTCAGCAAACATTTCCCTGGAAGGCTGCATTTCATTTTAAACTAATAACGTATCTTTTTACAGTTCCAATTACAATGCAAACCTATCATTTTGACAAAAGGTACTAACCTAAAACACAGTCAAAGGAAGGTAGAAATTTGGGTCTATGATTATGAGGTACAAATGGTAACACTGACAATTGAAATCAGACTAAATAACCTTTCTAATTTTAATGACAGAAGAATAGCTGGTCTGTCTTTCCTTCCTATGAACCACTGAAGCAGTAGTTGAACATCGTTCCTTCCATTGCTGTCAGGTGCCTCTGTATGTATCTCAATTAAAATATATATGTCTTGATCCCACAGAAAAAAGTGTTGTGAACATAGTACACAAGCAACAATTTTTTGGTGGCTTTATGTCTGAGCAACGATTTTTTTGGTGGCTTTATGTCTGATCACAAAATGATCTCATGAGTTTCTAATCCTGGTTGCTCACGTATGATTAGGACCTTATTACATATCTTTCAATCTTATGTTCTTAAAAACACATCAAGGAAGTACACTAACTCTTTTTTTCCCTGCCCTAAAATCACTGATGATTTCTTTCCACTCCAGGATATTAACCAGAATTCAAAACCACAGGAAATTTAGGTTAATACAGGACTCTTAATATTGTTATTATAATTTAAAAACACTTGTTTGTATATTTTGTAACTAGGATAAATTTAATAAAGGCCTACAAAACCAACCTACATAAGTAACTTAACTTAAAAACACTTAAAATATAATTCTAGATGGTATGGTGATGTTTGTCTGTAATCCAAGCACTCAAGAGGGCTAAGCAGGAGGATTGGGAGTGGAAACCAGCTAGGTTACATAGCCAGTGTTAACAGTGGCTTGTACTATAGAATGAGACCCTATCTCACACACACACACAAAAGTTTATTCTAATAAGCATCATAAAAAATATACAAATTCTTTGTAAGTAAATTGATGATTCGTTCCCAACTCTTACAAGCATAAATTTTAACAAGTTGTTTTGGAGGTGGTCATTATTTAAATAATTCACTAATTAAAATACAGTATTTCCCATTTAATCAAGGTTTTACTTTCCATGGTTCTGGTTACCTGCAGTCAACAGCAGTCTGAAAATATTAAGTTGAATACTCCGGAAATTAAAAATTAGCAAGATTTAAATACCTCTAATTATAATATATTGTTATAAATGTTCTATTTTATTAGCAATTATCAATGTGAATGTTTTACTGTGATAAATTTATAAATTAAACTTTATTAGAAGCATATATATACAATGCAGGAAAAGATATAATATATACAGGGTTTAGTGCTATCTGAGGTTTCAGTAATCTACTGGTAGCCTTGGAATGTATAAAGGGGTCCTACTGTAGATTTTACTAATGTTTCTTTACACAGTATTGTATAGTAACTGTAATGAAAGTATAGTCATATCTACTCCTTTTTGAAAATTTTTCCAAGTTTTAAATAAGCATTCTATCCTATAAAGATGGAATTATTTGATAGCTCACACAGAAAAATAATAGTATACTTTATCTGAATATTTTTACAATTACAAACTATAACTTCAGTAAGTTTGTAGTTCTCCTAAATTCTCACAGCTAAATTTTGGTCATCTTATTTAGAATATATGAAAGTTTTATATTAGAAATATCCTTGAACCTTAAAATTTACATCCTAACTACCAGGAGAATACTTTTTAAAAATTCTAGTGTAAACCCTTTAGAAATCAGTTCTATACCATATCCTAGATATGATGCATTTAAAATCCTAGAAAAAGATGGAAACATACTATGTGACTGGCTAGAGATAAAACAGTAACTCTTCAATATTCCACCAGGAAGAGAAAGAAACTAATTTGTCTACAGTTGTTTGGTCAGTGAGGTTCAGCAGGTGCATTTGTGGCAAAGAATAAAAGGATTTTTAAAGACTAAAAATAGAAAGTTAAAAAATGTTTAAGAAATATAAACATGGAACAAGTAGGAAAACTAAGAAGTTGTCTATGGCAAGTATTAATCATGAAGCAAAAGTAAGTTAGAAACAAAATAGAAAAATCAAAAGAAAATGCTCAGTTCTTTCTGCATTTGGGACTAAGTCCCAAATCCACTAGCAGAAAGGAAAGTTCCTTCAAGAGGAAAGGAAAGGAGGCAGAAAGAAAATGGAAGGGAAGGGCTGGCAAAAAGAGAAGTTTTCTAGAGCAAATGTTTCTTTTAAAATTGTCTTCCCATTTTTATATTATAAATATTGGTTTAATCCATATTACTTCTCACATAACCATACATTACTGAATTAGGAACTTGATCTATGAAAGATGAAGTTCCCAGCTATAAGATGAAACACAGGAAAATAATTGACTCTTAAATCTCCACAGAATAAAACTGAAATGTTTGAAGAAACAGAATTTTGCTACACTTAAGAACAAGGTTTTTTTTTTGTCTTTTAGGGGAGAGTATCACTTCTAACCTACCACTGCACTCAAGTTATTTCATCAACTATTCTTCCTTAAGTTAAAATTAAAATGTAACAGAAAAATAATTTTATGTTGCTTTTGGACACAGAGGATAGTGAAAGTATATAGTGTAACACATGCACTGCTTAAGCAAGCACATGTATTGATGTTCATATTTTGTCCTTTTTTTTTTTTTTTTTTTTTTTTTTTTTTGGTCTTTTTCCTTTTTATCGGTACCGGGGATCGAACTCATGACTGCCTGCTTGCAAGGCAGGTGCTTATGCTGCTGAGCTAAATCCCCAGCCCCATATTTTGTCCTTTTTTAAAAAAAAGTGTAACTCTTTCAGATAGATTTTTACATTTCTTACTCAAAATACAAATTCATCGGATTTGATGTAACTAAGAATAAAATAATAAAAATGTAATAGAAAGCATCCCTATTATTATAAATGGATGTTTTCTTACTTAGGAATATTAGAAAAATAAAAATGTTTTTGTTGAATACACTATAAGGGATTGAGAAATTAACATAGATATACACAGAAACAGCAATATTCAAATGACCATAGTTTATTTGGTTCTGTGTCAGTTACTAGATCCTTGTGATTGTGAAATAAAAGTTTTAAGCAATATAAAACAAAACATTTCAGTGACATAAAATAAACTGACTTATCAAGCTGAGGTCAGTTATGTGTTATTTCTTTTTTTTTTTTGTCTTTTTCCTTTTTATCGTATGTGTTATTTCTTAACAACCTCAACACTTGGTCCCATAATTGTTCATATAAAACATGTTCAAGATGTTGGGAAGATGTATTAATTTTATTAATTTGGGTTTAAAAAAAAACTAATTTAAGGCTGCTATTTACAATTCTGTAAGTACCCTAAAGGAATTTTTCTACTTAAATTGGCAAGACCAATCTGATTACTTAAACAGTGCAACACAAGGCATGCATATTGCAATAGGCTCATGGCACATGCAATGAAAACCTACAACGGCTGAAATGTATAGAAAAGAAAAAAGAAAAAGCTCTTCCAATGCTTTCTTGAGCTTGACAAAACAGGTTAGAAAATTTGCTGCATGCATGCTAAACTTGGTGGAATTTAAAAATACCATACCTTAGAGGTGATCCGATGAGCAAGGTAGGAGGGGTAGGGTTACTCCCTGCATTGTGCCGGCGCCGCACTGCCTGGCGCCTAAATGTACTGCGTTCACGGCGAAATGACACTGTCTCCTCGCTGACCTGTGCTGCTGCATCAAGACAGACTTAAGTCAAATGGGAGCCTAGCTCAGAGATGTACATAGCAGCTGAGCTTGTCTTTCCCTTGATGCCCCACCCTCATGATTAAAGAGAAACACATCTGCTTTTCATATATATATTATAAATCTATCCTATCAGGTGATAAGAGGGTCACTTAAAGTGAATTTATTTTTAAAAAGTTGTGCCTTTCACTTATCCAGCTCATTATCTTCCCTTCAACTTCCTATTTTAAGATCCCCACTGCTTTAAATCTTTTCCTAAAATCTCAAATCTTTTCTTTATTTCTGTTCCATATTCCTCTATCTTTCCTTTAATTAAATCAACCTTAAAAGTATCTTTTAGCTTCTATTAGTAGGAATGGGGGCATTAGTTTTTACTCTTATGAGAACAGAAAAAGCAACAAAGATTTACAGATACTCCTTGACTTATGATGGAAGTACACCAAATAAACCCATTGTAAAGTGAAAATACCACAGGTCAAAAACACTTTTGACACACCTAACCTATCAAACAGCATAATCTAGCAGTAGGTTACAATGTGGAGTATCTGTTGGCTTCTCTTGCAATTATGTGGCTGACTGGAAGCTGTGACTAACTGCCACTGTGACACTGACATGGAGTACTGGGTCACATATGGCCAGCCCAGGAAAAGGTCAACATTCAGTTTTTACTAAATATGTCTCACCACTATAAAACTGAAAAGTTGTAAGTTGAAATATCATAAAGTAGGGACTCCTATTTGTGATGGTAGATGCTACAGAGTAAGGCAGTGAATTTATCTTGCATTACTCTGTGCCATGGTTTTGGCATCATTAAATGGAACCCTGACTTTGGACCTATGCAACTGGTTAATTAAAATGTTAAGATAGCATCAGTATCCCTTAACTGTACAATGCAATGTATTATAAATCCACATTTATTAAAAAACTATGATCCTATTTCCCACAAATTAGAAAGCAAATATCAGCAAAATCTCCCACTACAGCCTACAAACCCATAGTCTAATTTAGAAGCCATAAAATACAAACTAAAAACCAAATATATAACAATAACAAATCAAAACAATGGCTTGGCAGAATTACATATATTTTACAAAACCATATAATTGGCCAATCTGGGCTTCTAAATCAAATTGTAAAATAATTTTCATTCATTTGAATATAAACTAACTTGTTTACTACTGATCTAAATATTATGAGAATAATTAATTGTGAGAAAGGCTATGTTGATGCTAAATATAATTAAAAGAAGCTAATGCAAAAACATTCTTCTAGTATAAAAATTCCATTAAACATAAAAAAGCTCTACTATTTGTGAGATAAAAGCTGGTGTACACAAAAATTACATAATCTCAATAAAGAAGTGATGCTGGCTAAAGCTGGTCATTTAGAACTGTGTGGTCCAATATAATATGTTGCTATCATATTACAATACATAATGAGACTAGCTACGTGTGGCTATTTAAACATAATAACTAAAATGAAAAATCTGCTTCTCACATTGGTGAGCCACACTTCAAGCACTCCACAGTGACAGCAGCTAGTGGACACCAGTTGACACAGGAGCACTGCTATCATCATGGAACGCTGTATTTCGGTGCTGTTCTAGGTTGCTGTTTTCCTATCACAATCTACAAAGCACTTGCATACTTTGCCAATTCTTAACTATTACAACCTCAATGAAATGGAAACACAACCTGCAGTCTCAAAGGAAAACATAGGTATTAGGGCAGTTGCTGAATGAGAAAGAAAACAAGGCAGTTGAGGGAAGAAGCGAAAACTTAAGAGGAGGCACTGGCATACCTACTAATGAACCGTAGACACCAGTAAAGTCAGGTTATGGGATTTGAATTACTACTTAAAAAGTCAATTCAACCGTTATCTTGTGAGCCAGCCATTGTGAAACATGCCTGTAATTCCAGAACTTGGGAAAATTTATTCAGACATAAATTACAGGAGACAGCCTAAGCCATAAGATGTACTAAAATTATTCAGAAGAATTCAAGAAAAGCAGCATGTGCTCAGTGAATACCGAGAAATGAAAAAGAAAAAAGAGCACAGTCTTCTTTACCAGCCTCCTTTTACTGAAGACTTAATCTTAAGTAAAAACTAATCATTTCTCAGTAAAGGGGCCAAAAACAGAACACTCCAGTGTTTCTTAGTCAAAAGGTTCTTGGCTTTATTTAGAAAATCAGAGATTTTTTGGCTATTGATACTCTATATTTTATCTATAAAAGTTATAAATTATATTACTTTCTTAACAGTTTTGAAAACACATCACGGTAAAAAGTATAGGTCAGTGTATTAAAAGTGGAGTTATGATTACTGCCTAAATTATCCTTTGTAATATTCTGGGTATAAATGCCTATTAGTACAAGAATTTTCAAAATATTCACTATACCACCTGTCTTAACAATAACTAGGGCTGGGAATGGTGGTGCATGCCTCTAACCCCAGTACTCAGGAAGCTGAGGCAGGAGGATCAAATGAGGTCAAGCCAGCCAGGGCTCATAGTGAATCCAGGCTAACCTGAACTACATAGCAAGACCCTGCACTAAAAATTAAAAACAAACAAACAAACAACAACAACAACAACAAAATGCAACTAGAATCATACATTCAACTAAAAATGCCATGCTATAACTTATGGTTATACTAGATAAAACTAAAATCCATGCCCCATTGAGCATGTACTACTTGCATAGAACATGTCTAGTTGGGGCAAGGTCCAGGAGGGATACAGTTCTATTAGAGCCAAAAGTGGGGAAAGGTCTCTTATTAAGCTTAAAACACAGTCACATATAACATACTTGATGAAAATTCACCTTTTTTTTTGTCTGTTTCGTTTTTATCGGTACCAGGGATCGAACTCACGACCGCACACTTCCAAGAAGGCGCTTATACCGCTGAGCTAAATCCCCATCCCCGAAAATTCACTTTTGCCAGGCAACTTTAACAAACTCTTGTGGAATCATTTAACTTCGCAGGAAATAGACAGTATTTCTTTAAAACATCTTTGGACTAAAGCATCAGAAGGGAGGGAGAGCATACTTTAAAAACTGGTTCTGAAGTTGTATTTTGGACTGCATATAAATCAGTATCTTGTGGCAAAGAAAGATGAAATGAATTAGTTGAACTGCAATATTAAATGCAAACAGTGAAAAATCAGCCATCTAGGTACAGTAAAAATTTAGGCATGTATATTTAGGGAGGAAAAAATTCACAAACATTCAAGAGATTAAAAATCTATGAATAATAAAACATCAAATATTTCTGAGGAATATAATTAAATGGTGATGTAGATTTTTTATTTTTTAAATATTTTTAAAAATTGTAAGTCTTGATTTTCTAAATACTGACTTGCATTAAAATATAGTCTTCAGAATACATTTATATTCATCGGAAGCATGAGCAAGACCTCCAAGTAATTCAGCTTTTCCAGTACAGCAATAAAATCACTCAAGGATTTAAGACAAAAGGCAACTCATGGACAAGGCACGAATACCTTAAAACATTTCACCAGCTCTACTCTGATCTATTCTTAAAAGATCAGAAAGAAACTATCATCCACAAAACACACTTCCCGCCTCAAGAGTTCTTTCCCATTTATCCTTCAAAAAGGTAAGGAAACTGCACATTCTCTGCCAAATTATTTTAGTGCAACCATTTGTTCACAAGGGGATAATGACAAGTGACAGTATTAAAGGCTAAAGATACATAGGAGAGCAAACTCTGATGCAGCAGGAGGTGAAGGTTGTCTAAATTCTGTGTCAAAAACTACAACATTTCAACTCTAAATATGTGAGATAAAGATGGTTCTTAGAAAACTTCAATCATACAGCTTGTTGATTAGTGAAAGTATTTACAGTTTTACAAGTTACTTTCTAGTAGTTACATAATGCTATGGCTGGCCTTTGCAGTAGGCCAATTCCTATTAAATAAGTTTAAAATTTAGAAAAAAGATATTACTTAAGAAAACACTTCTTTTTTAGCACAGAATGTTTATTGTGGAAAAAGTACATCTAGGAAAACAAAAATGTGTGTTTGGTACCTCAAAGAGATCAGAAAAATACTAATAGGAAATAAAATTTTTAATAAAGATGACAAAAGTATAAAACAAGTATAATACATCTTAGAAAAATAAAAGACATGTAAACATTCTGAAATATTCTTCAAGTTAAAAACTATTTCACTTAATGAAATTACCACATAAATAAACACTCAATTGATTTGGCAAAAAAAATTCTGAAAGAAATGTTTTAGTCTAGGCATGAAACCTACTTTATCTAAAGTCTTTTCCTTTCTTATTTTCCATGCTAGCCATCAACAGGAAAATAATGTCTTCTAATAAAGAACTAAATGCTTCTAAAAGCAACATTTTCTGGGAGGCAAAAGAACAATCATAACCTACTGCACAACTTCTAAGCATCATTCTGAATTAAAACAATTCTTATCTGTGCAAACATTTTGAACAACCACCCTGTTATTGACAAATCAACAAACTGTTAAACAACAAAATTATCGGCTCTGTTTCAAGTTAAAGAGAATTTTCATATCCTTACTGATACTTTCCACAAATCCAGCAACCAAGAAATACACCTGGTTAATGAAAAGCTTTCAAGAAACTAAGGAATAGGGCCGGGGATTTAGCTCAGCAGCATAAGTGCTTGCCTGGCAAGCACAAGGTCATGAGTTCAATCCCCAGCACTGAGAAAAAAAAAAAGAAAGAAAGAAAGAAAGAAAGAAACTAAGTGATAGTCTGGAGACTAATTCATACAAAATGATTCTAAGATACACAGTTTAAGAATGAATTACTGAGCCAGGAATGTAGCTCAGTAGCATAAGCACCTGCCCAACAAGCACGAGGTCCTGAGTTCGATTAACCAAAAAAAAAAAAGAAAGAAAAAAATATATATACTTTCACAGCTAGTTCCTAATCTTTTAAATCCTTTGTGAATAGGATTTAAATTCAACCTCTTCTCAGGAAAGTTCATTCAAATACAGTTTTGCATCTATTTTTCAGGCAATTCATCTAATATAGGATTACCAGTAAAAATATATACTATATACTGTATTCATATATGTAGATGGAGTAATATATTTGAAAAGCAAAACTTCTGAATGATGAAAAGCATCAGTGTTGTTAGTTTACATAATGAATCTGCGATCTACAAAGTACTTTCAAACTTGTAAGCCTGTCAAGAATCTGACAGTTAACTGTGAAACAGGCCTGCACAGATGTGATTCTAGTTTTACAAATGAGGATGAAGAATAGATTTATATGATTACCAGAGTATTCAGTCAGCTATTAAAAGGGTATTAAAATGTAAGTGATTCTTTATTCCAAATTTCACTGCTGCTACATAGAAAAACATACTGTCTCTATCTGACAAAAACTAGGCATGGATGGGTTCTGGAAATTCAATATATAAAAATTTATTTACTTCACTAACAAAATATTTTTCTTCATATTGCTGTAAAGGAAGATTGTTTTACCAAACAAGTTTCACTGGACTTAATGAACATTCTTTTATTTTTAAATGTCTGTCCATTCTTCACAAGATAGCCTAAACATATTCTTAATGAATCAAGGTAAGCTGCATATGTATTTCTTACAGCATTATATGTTGCACAATATAATATTAAATTATGACACTATGATGTCTTTGAACACTATTAAAATTAAAAAATGATCTGTCCCTACATTTAAGGAGCATCTTGCAGTGTATTTCTTGCTTTGCTTCTGTAGGATTAGCTGTACATCTCTTCTGCTATCATTATGCTTATGAAAATAAATATTTGTTATATAGTTGAGTATCAAAAGACAAGTTATATGTATATCAATCCATTTTATTGGATGAGATGCTAAAAATGTTTATTGGGGGACTAGAGGTTTAGCTCAGTGGCATAAGCGCCTGCTTTGCAAGCAGGGAGTCGTGAGTTCAATCCCTGGTACCAATAAAAAGGAAAAAGACCAAAAAAAAAAAAAAAATGTTTGTTGGTATCATGTAAGAAATTAATAATTCAGTTTTATTTTTAATATTGTCAAATTTCACACAATGACATAATTAGAGTATCTCTAACTTACTTTTATGTGTATTTATTTTCTTTTATTTTAATTTCACATCACTGAATTAAAAGGGTCAAACAGGGCAAGATACGTCTGTGCAGCATAATAGCCTGTGGCCTGTTTGATAATAATCATAGAAGAACTATTAAACATTTACTACATGTTGGGCACTGTTCTAACCATTTTATGTGTATTAACTCTTTTAATACATATAAAATTCAAAACTACCTTATAAAACAGATACTACTATCACCTCATTTTAAGGTGATAGCTGTAACTTAGAGCAAGTAAGGAGCATTCCAAGAGCCACAAAGTGGAATCCATGTACTAATAAAGATACAGCATTCATGTTATTTAACTAGATTGTCTCCTATTATAGAATATTTTAATTTTATTATGTTGAAGTATATTTGCTGCTGTGATTGGTGGCACACACCTGTAATCCCAACACTTGAGAGACTGAGGCAGAGTGTTGCTGTGAGTTCAAGGCCAGCCTGGGTTACATAAATGAGGTCAAGGTCAGGCTACACTATATGTAGTGAGACCCTCTTTCAAACAAAAAAAGAAAGAAAGAAAATAAATCAGAATACTTACTACAACATTAACCTGTGAAATACTATTGATGAGATTTAAACTCTTAAAGGCTAAAAGCATTGTCAGATGGTTAAAAATGTTTGTACAAACAGAAAATCCAGCTTTATTTTTAATAAAAGGCTGAACAGTTACTATACAAAGATTCTACATATTAAAATTAAACATATAAACCCAAATAAAGGGAATGTGAATAAAGACTAAAAATGCTAATGTGCTTCTATGCCTACAGAAGATCTAAATCTTCTGATTCTATTCAAGATACACATTTCAGGGCCGAGGGGTTTAATAGCTCAGTGGCTCAAGCACTTGCCTGTTAAGGGCAAGGTCGTGAGTTCAATCCCTAGTACCAAAAAAAAAAAAAAAAAAAAAAAAAAAAAAAAAAAAAAAAAGCACATTTCATAAAAATCAGGAAAAAAACTATTCTCAATAGGAAAAAATAGTAAAATCCAGTAACTCTGAAATAAAAACTACTGTTAAAGACACACCAGAGAATAACTTTGAAATAAAAAGTACTGTTAAAGACCAAACACACCGACAATATAAAACCAGCCACCCAGTTTTGCATAATTCTCCATAAACCTGAAATAAATAAGTCATTTTTACTTTAACCAAACTACCATCACTGTTGTAAGTGGCATCACATACCCATTAACAGACACAACATGCTAATAATAGCTACAAACCTCCATTTAGTAAACTCTAAAGACAAGTTTGAAAAAATGAAATTTTTATACTGTTTGAAACCTGAATTAAGCAAGAAAAAACCAGAGACAGACAAAGATGAATCGGTTTCCAAAGTATGTTATCAGAGCGAAAGCAGTACTGCACTTGGGAAAATCTTATATAACAGGTTGAATGATCTAATTCTGGAAGTACAGCAGCACATATTGTATAAAAGATGACTAAACGTGAAGGTGAACTAGACACAGGGAAGAGGCTGAGGAAGAGCAGGAATGGAGAAAACGTTAATGGTTTGAAACTGATTGATACATTATACACATGTACCAACTTTCCAAAATAAATTCCATTGCCACATAATAATAACATGTACTATTAAAATACAGTAGTTTTTAAGAAGAGATGACTAAAAGTGATTTGGTGTCCTAAAAAATTACACATTTTCTTGTTGCTATTGTTGTGAAAAAGGGAAAAAAAATTGTCTATGTTGGTAAAAAGTGAAGGCCATGAAGAACAAATTTATAACCATGCATGGAGGCACAGCACACCTGCAATCCTAGCACTCTGGAGGCTGAGGCAAAAAGATCACACGAGTTCAAGGCCAGCCTGGATCACACAGAGAGTTGAAGGCCAGCCTAAATTACATAGTGAGACCTTTTCTCAAAATCAAACAAAACAAAACAAGCAAACAAACAAAAACCAAACTGATGTAGTTATTAAGACAAGTGAAAAAATGTTTTCTTTATACCAAAACATTTTCTAAGGTAACCTTCTCCTTCTTCATTTAACAAGAGTGGAAGGACCAAGTCAGCAGTGACTCTTCAGGAAGACTCTTCTTATAGCTTACTTACCTCCACTGACAGTGTCTTGCTCTTCCCCTTCTGGAAACGCAACCTGGCTTGGCAAACTATTCCTAGATCGAGTGACTGTCTCTAATTGTGAAGCCCGTCCCAATAAAGACAGCTCATCTAGCACCTCTCCTTCTTTGGCCTCGAGATCTGATTTTGAGGTGGTTAATGGCTTTATATTTTCAGGTGCCAGGAGCCTATTTGAATCATTCAAACAGGCTACTGTGCCACTGTCCAAGCTCAACACTCGGGCACGAGTCTTGGCACTATTTGTACTGGAAGTCCGTCGTGTGGCCCTCTTTTTGCTGGCTCCTTCTGGTCCCAGATGAGCTCTGTGTATGTGTTCCGAGTTTGTCCCCCTTTCCTTATGAACATGCTTGGTTTTCAGAGCATTGTACCTGCTTTCAGGAGACTGGCATGAATGAGAAGCGGTGCTGGAAGAGCTATCACTGCTCAACTGGTGAGCAGACTGAATGCTTGATGCTCTACTCAAGTCGCTTTGATCACTAGAGTCCTCGTCATGACAAAATATAGCACTATGTGGTTTGGTTCCAGAAACACCTCGAAAAGAAACATAGTCCCTGTGCCGGCTTGAGTCGAAACTGCTGGCCCGTTTCTTTCCTGTCCGTCTCCGGCCTGACTTGTGGGCAGAGGCTGCCCTGTGGGTTAAGCTAGATGATTTGGGCCGAACATCCCCTTCCTTCTGCTTTCCCCCAATGTCTTTACAAACTTTTGAATCAACCACAGCACTAGGCTTTTCACTTTGCTCCTCTTTGTTTTCGGTAGTTTTCTCAGGTGGTCGCCCTGGCACAGGAAACTCATTTGCATGGGGGTTTTTATTGGCTTCTTCAGAGGCAGAAGTGCTAACCTCTCTCTGGTTGTGCAACTCATCGGAGGCCTGAGAAACCTGGGCCTCGGGAGCCCCACTATTTGAACTCACTTCTAAGACAGTCTTGTCACTATTAGTCCTTTTGTCACTGGCATAGCTACTCATGTCCTCAGGGTCAAGGCAGGACTCTTTTTTCCCAGTGCTGCTCTTTCCCACTTTAGGAGACTCTTCATGCTCTGACAAGATGCTCTCTATGTGAGTAGAGCTGGTCTGCTCACTTTTATAGCTGCTAACGGTGCTGTTGGTGTCACGGTCTGTCCCACTGCAATAGCTCTCTGTTGACCCACTACTCCGTGTGCTCAGGCTCCTCAGGCTGTCCACGCTTTTGTCAGCGTTCAATGCTTTGTTCTTCCCGCTTTTGGGGGGTGGCTGGGAATTACTGTTTTTTGGGTCATCAGTAAGCTGAAATTTCCCTGATACACAGGAATTGTCTACTAAGGATTCTTTAGATCCAGAATGAGGCTTAGAAGATTCTAACTCGCTAACTGGATCTAACCCACGTCTTTGCTGATAAAGAGGGAAGTCATTCAGCGAAGTGTCAGGAAAAGCCACAGCAGAGCTGGAAGTCCGTGGTACACCTCGTGGCCGGTGATCTTTCCTGTAAGAGTGCGAATGTAAAGGTACAAGGGAAGCTACCTCTGTGTCACAGGCACTGGAAAGAGACTGTTCGATGTGGTGGTGGTGGCTATGACTTGGCAAGCTTGCTTTGTCACTCGTGTCCCTTGGTAAATCCTGTCCACAAGAGGACAAGGAAGGCTGAATGGAGATGAAGGAGTCATTGGAGACCAGACGGAAAAGCTTCCGATCAGTTGCCAAATCTGTTTCAAACACATATTTAGAAATGTTAACACAGATGTATGATCTGCTTCTCTACTATTTAACAATGGAAAGAATTCACAGCATACAGTAAATCAAGTATAAACAATTTCCCTAGCAGCTCACTGATTAACAGTTGGCAAGTTACTCCAAAGGGCTGGTTTATGTTCCACAACTACACAAAGAACGCTTTCTATGGATGCAATGAACTGTTTTGACTTATTCAACTAGCCTCCAAAAAAGTTCTACAAACGATCAGCAATTTTAAAAGAGGGAAGTGGGCAACAGAGGATTATATTTAAAATGGACTTGGATTTCTAGGCAAGCTTTATCTCTAATTTACCACTGAGATGACAGTGGGTTATCCTTCTAAATCTCTACTTCATCTTCTTCTATAAAAATCAACATTCTTGAGGATCAGGCAAGGAATATGGAGTTAAAAACAATGCTTGACATAATGCCATCACAATTTATGGTATAACTATCATTATTTTACCTAACATTACTAGAATTCTTTTTAAAAACCAGAAGGATTATTTTACAAATCAAAACAAAACTTAATCAGAAACAGAAAAAAGAATCAAAGGGCTAATAAAAATCCAAATAAAATATGGCATAATAATGCAACTGGTCCTCATGGCTAAAAAAACAGTACTATGGGGCATCATAACACATTTTCTCTTTTATTGCTGATATGTAGCTGATATTTAAAAATGCCTTGTAAAAAATATATAACCTTCTATATTTGTAAGACTAATCCTTTAATTGTCCTTTTAGTATAGTAATTAAATTTCCATATACAAGGGGCTGGGGATTTTGCTCAGCGGCATAAGCTCCTGCCTTGCAAGCAGGCAGTTGTGAGTTCGATCCCCGGTACTGATAAAAAAAAAAAGGAAAAGCCAAAAAAAAAAAATTTCCATATACATTTTGTAAATAAAATGAGAAATGTAAATATAAATATAAGTAAGTCCTATCTACCTAGGTTGTAATTCATCTTGGAACATATAGCTTGGCAACTGAACTGCACAAAAGGTGACTTTTAAATGTATGTTTTGACAGGCAGGAAGCTTGAACCTGCTGTTAGTTCAATAAAAACAAAAATTAGTCTAACTTGTCACAATTGTGTAGACAAAGCATAACATTACATAGTGAGACTTTTCCAAGTAGAGTCAATTGTAAAAGCAGATCAAACTGAAAATCTTAATCTTCATTACATCTAAATAATTAAAAACTTGGGATTGCCTGAGGTATATACCATATAAATTGTGATTTATAAATGACTCATTAGGCTTTTTCTTATGTTTTAAAGTTTTCAAGGTAACTAAAATCACATTATTATTTTCACAAAAACACAACTACTGAACTTAGATTCTTATATTCTTTAAATTCTAAAATTTAGAAGTTAAGCTGGGCATGATGGCATACACCTGAAATTCCGGCACTCTGTGAGGAGGCTCAGGCAAGGGATCACAGTGTTGAGTCCAGATCATGCATTTTCCACATTCAAAATATGGATGGATGGTTGGATAGAAGAAAGGAAGGAAGGCGGGAAAGAAGGAAGGAAGGACGGACCCAGCACCACCAAAACAAAAGTCAAGAAACAGAAATGGAAAGTGCACCTCTACATCCTCAGATCTTCTGATGATCTGGAATAATGTGACAAAGGGAGTACCTGCCAATCAAGTTACTTGCTAAACAACTAAAAGTCAGTGTCTTTACAAACCCATCCCAGTCACAGAATCACAAGAGTCCCACGTTCACCAATGCTGTATTTAACCTGGAATGAATAACTGCCAGTAGGGGGTGCCAAACCATAGCTCAGATCAAAAGAAGAATCTGGAAAAAAGTAGCCAGGCCATTTTACTACCACACCAACCCCTTATTTTATGGTCAGCTTTTTGTTTTTCGTTTCTTGCACACTAACAACTCCTAAATTTAAAACCCCTAACCCAGATTTCTTACCTGAAATTCAGACTTCCGTGTTTGGCTGTTTCCATTCTCCTCTTGCTTATGCCCAAAACCTTAAGAGTCATGCATGACTACTTCTCTTACATGACACTCCGAATCCATCAACATATCTTAAGTATCTTCTAGATAAACACACACCCTTGCCTTGTATTCATGTAAAAATCTGCTAAATGAGCTTTCTGCTTCCTTTTAATGTACCCCAAAAAAAAAGGTGCCACAGTGTTCCTTTACAATGTAATGCAACAAGATAGCAGTTCACCTTACTCAGAATCAAAACTAACATCTTTAAAATGGCTCAGAGTCCACACAGTTTGGTCCCTCACACTCCAAACAAGCCATATTATCTCCCAAAACCAACAGGCATGTTCCTGCTTTCCAGCTTTTGCCCTTGCTATTTCTTCCGCATGGCGGAGATCCCCTTTCCCCTAGATACTCTGAGGGCATATGTCTTCTCCTTCTTCAGTCTTTGCGCTAGTGAGGCTTTCTCTCAACTAAGCTATTTAAAATTGTAATTTCCCCAGCCCCTACCCACTCCCTGTTCTGTAACACTACACATACGCTAACTTACACTAATATGATTCTGTTGCTAGTATGGACATCATAAAAAGGTTCAATTTTTTTGCTTTATTCACTAATTTATTTCTAGTACTGAAAAGTGTTCAGCATGAAAAAATGTTATATGGGTAAAAGTTATAAAACCATATGAAAGTAGAAGAGCAGAGTGATTAAATAATTTCTCTCCAAGCCATAGTAATGCTTATCTGAGAATGTTACCAACTTTATATGCCTGTTGTAATGACTGGCATATAAATTCACATACAATTCTTAGGAACTAAATCAGAGGCTGACAAATAAGGACCACAGAACCAAATCTGACAATGTTTTTCAAGAAAGTTTTAGTATAACAAACCATGCCCATTCATTTGTCTATTATTCATAGCTCCTTTTATTCTACAACTGAGCTGCTGGGTATTAAGAGACCATCTAGTTTACAAAGCTCTCTGACCTTTTCAAAACGTTTAGTATGCACTCAGTGAATGTCAGGTGTCATTATTTATGTTAAAATACCTTTACTTAGAAGAAGAGGAGAAGGAGGAAGAGGGGGAAGAAGAGGAGGAAGAGAAGGGAGAAGCTTCCCATACCATAAAGTATATTTAGAGTTTCTTCTTTTTTTTGGGGGGGGGGGGATTCCACAAAAGTAAATAATGATGCCTATTGTAATTCCAAAAAAGCAGAGAACTACAGTGATAAGTTCCAAGTACCATCAACAAAATACACTTTTAAGAAATAGACTTGCTTAAGTTACCAAAGTAAGGAGAAACTATCATAATTTAGTGATCTATATATAACTTTAAAACAGGCATCATGATTAAAAATAGGATATTTGGGGCTGGGGATTTAGCTCAGCAGCATAAGCACCTGCCTTGCAAGCAGGCGGTCGTGAGTTCGATCCCCGGTACCGATTTAAAAAAAAAAGAAAAAGAATAGGATATTTATCAGCCTCATGAATATTGCTTATAGTTAACAAAAACAACAGGTAATAACAGAATGGAAATAGGGAGACAGGTTTCTCACCTAATCCTGGCTCCCTGATTATACATAACCTTGAATAAGTTCCATTTAAAAATAGGGATGATTTATCTTTCATATTTGAAAATTTTTAAAATCACACATGAAAATGTGTATAAATAGCTACAAAAATCCAAAATATATTTTAAAAGTAAAAAAAGAAGAAAATACAAGCAAAGAAAAACTTCAAAATGTTCCTTTTTAATAGAACTGAGTAAGGAGGGGAAAAAAAAAAAATCACACCTACCAAAATTTCTACTAGCATTCTGTTACAAGGTACCATGATAAAAATAGGTATGGTTTCACAGAAAGTCCAATGGCAAGTTATTTATCTAACATACTGTAACTTCTGCAGCTAGGTAAGAGATGATAAAGCTGGCATTCAGAGGTCATACTAAATGGGAAACAACAATTTTACATACTATATTTTCACTTAGCTGATTTACACGTTTTGACCAACTAAAAGAAAAACTTTTCCATATTTATTTGGCAAAATGTATATAACTGAATTCAGCAGGGTAAAAGCACTTTTCAAGACATTATACAAGTAAGTCATTTTAATGTTTCCTGAAAGTAATTATATTGAATTACAAATTTGCCAAAACGTAAGCGACATATTCCACAAATTCATCCTGGTCACCACAATATACAGTGTCACTGTGAAGCACAAAGTTCTTACCTTGCTCTTCGCTTCCATCCTTACAGAGACTAGAGCTCTGGCCCAGACTTAAACTGATATCATCAGAAGTCTTAGCAGTGTCTGTATCTCCTACAAGGAGAAACATTGGCATAACGAGGAAAGAACATCAGAAGTGTGGTAGATACCTATTAAATAAAATAGTCTGTGTATCAAGTGTTGCAGTAGTGGAAGATCCACTATAAAAAGTACCATGGACTATCAGAGAACATAATCAGTCTCATAGAACTACAAGCCAAATAATACAGAATGCTTCATAATGCTACCTAGGTAAAACTGTTTAAGTACTTTTTAAAAAGGAAAGGCAAATTATAATAAATTATGAAGTAACATAAATTTTCTTTCCCTAAAAAGTTGCTGGGCAAAAATATATAGCTTATGGAGAGATACCAAAATAAAGAAGGGGAAAAACCTTACTTTTTTTACTGTTTCATCTGTACTCACATTAAAAATTTTCACATCAAACTGATTAGTTTTCTATGAACTTCACCTAAACCTATGAAAGTATTTTTCCTCAGCAACAAAGTTTCTGATAAATCAAATTTATAACTCATGCAACATAATACAAATGGTCAAACACTTCTGTGAAATTTGGATAAAAGAATAACACAATTTAAATCAAGCAACCTTGATAACTATCTGCAAAATGATTTTTACATTACATCTGAATGTACAGTATTGTTACTTTTAGTACAACCTAAAGAGAAAGAGAGAGAGAGAGAGAAAGAGAAACAGAGAGAAAGAGAAAGAGAGAGAAAAAGTAAAAGTCAGGCTGGAGATTTAGCTCAGTGGCCTAAGCACCTGCCTGGCAACCATGAGGTCAAGAGTCTGATCCCTAGTACAAAAAAAAAAAAAGAAAAACGAAAAAAAAAAAAAAAAGGTCAGAGGCAATATTCAAGCCATGTCATGTCTACCTTTAATAGTAGCTGCTGTTCCAAGACGAGAGGAACCAGATCCAATCTGTAAACATAAATTAAATCAAACTAATTAAAATCTAGCTATGTCATTACCAATTTTAACTAGTAAGATTATAAAATAAAATTATCAATTTATCTAAGTATGCTATTAATCACTTTAATCAATATTAAAAGATACCTGTTGGGCATGTTTTATAGGAGCTACACAACCTGTTTGCTGAGGCACGGTCTGCCTTGTTTTACACATATGCTGTACAACAGTCTCTTCACACACTCAGGACTGATATAGCCCTCGGAACCCAACACTCTAACCTCAAGCATCAGTATTTTTTATATCACATCATAGCATGTCCATGCTGTAAACAAAAGCAAAACCAGGCATTGAGTATATCTGAAATATACTTTTTAGGACACGTAAAGGGAAAGTTTGGGGATGGTGCGAGCAAAATGTATTAACATGCTACAAAGAAACAACATATATCTTACTGTCAAATTACTGTTACAATACGTAACATCCTTAGTTCCAGACAAGTCAGTACTTCTTTGTAGATGGTTAAAACATTAAAAAAAAAATTGAAGGCATCCACAAAGTTCCATTTTTAAGTACAGACTATAATTAGAAAACTAAAATCAGGTCACTTAACTTTTAGTGATTATAGTTAAGATTTTAACACTTTCCTGAATCCTCACACCATTATTTATTATACTACCATAAAAATCATATAAACAAATATTACAAATTTCATGAACACAACAAGGAATCCAACATGATACTTAAGTATATCAAGTAGTCCTAGCAACTCTTCCTACAACTTGCTTTCATGGGACTCAAAGAACAAGAAACTAGTTAAGCAAATCAAGCTTCATAAAATAACATGTAAAACATCATATAATTCTTTATATATTTTTTAAGTTATTCCTTTCATTGACTATTTAAGAAGAGTACACCACAAGAAATATATTCAGAATATAAGTTAATGTTGCCTTAAAAGGGCAGAAGAGAAGATGTCCATTGAAGGGGTAAATTCATTGAGATGCACACTCAAGATACTATAGTGTGTAAATTAAATGTCAGTGAAAAGAAAATAAAAATAAGCATACAGATATGGGTGAAACTAGTCATAAACCTTTGGCATAGCCAATAAAAAATAAGCTCCAGATTTTGGTGACAAATACAAACTTCTATTCCTGGTAGTCACTGTTGCTGAATACTCTTATTACTCAATAACAAAGACAATCTTTACAGATGCCACGGGTGATTCTATTTTATTCTTAATGCCTTTCTGTATTACTTATGATTCTTCCCAAAGTATCAAAAATCTTGACTATCTGTGATAGACAACAGGAAATCAAGAATATAAACTACAGTACATCCCAATGCAATGCAGTCCCCAAAGTGTCAGTGTAGAAAGTCATTCAACAATATTAATATTCACAAAACATTCAGTTAAGAGAAATGAGTTTCAAAGGAAAGCAGTACACTGTAACTCCATTTTGTTTTAAAAAGACTTTTATTAGCCAAACATCATGGTGCAAGCCTGTAATTCCAGCATTTGGGGAAGATGAGGCAAGTTAGTGATTTAGCAAGATCCTCTCTCTAAAGAGCTAGGAATGTAGCTCAGTGAAACGGCCTTGCATTCAACCTCTAGTACATCAAAAAGAAAAAGAAAAGAAAAAGATTTTTACTCTGAATGCTGTGAATTTTAATTTTCTTATTTCATTTGTTAAATTTTCTAAGAATAAAAAGAAAAAATAGTGTCTCCCTATACTCAGAGGTAAATCATTTTAAGTGGCTTGCACAAATTAAAATAGTTCAGTGTTTCTTAACGGTGGTGTAAAAAGAAAAGTCCAAGGGGCTGGGGATTTAGCTCAGCGGCATAAGTGCCTGCCTTGCAAGCAGGCAGTCGTGAGTTCGATCCCTGGTAACAATAAAAAGGAAAAAGACAAAAAAAAAAAAAAAAGAAAGGTCCAGGAAGGACTAAGAATGTCAGGTGTCAGAAGAAAGACTACTGCCAACTAGAAAGTACATCAGGCAAAGTCAATCCTCCTAGGAAGCCTTGCCTTTCTGTCTGAAACTACCTTTTTCCGTCCCATTCCAATGGTAATTATGACTTTATGAAAGGACTTTGTACTTAGTTCTTTTATTACATACATGACATTTATAACTTGGTTATTTATGTCAGATTGCAATCTCTAGGTTGCAACCCTTATCCTGAACCATTAAAATGCTTTGAATACTATCAAGCACTAAAACTTTTGAAAGAAGATAAATGATAAAAGGCAAGAAAAGGAAGGCAGAGAAAAACAGGGAAGAAAAGAAAGACAACTGTTAAGAGATAGTAGATTAACATTGTGTTTTAAACCTTCCTTTAAAAAAAGAGGACAAAAAAGGGTAGAGATTGAAGGGATCAGGGTAGAAGTACCAAGAGGAAATGAATGATAACAAGGATTAAGATGGAGCCATTTTGTCTAGTAACATATAAAAATGCTGTAGAACATACGCCAAAAACAGCATAACTATATTGATAGTACCTGACTGTATTTCTTCTCTTTAGCTTCTCTAACAATATGATCCATATAAACAGTACTTATCATAAGCAGCATAAAAACAAAAACACTAAAACCTAAAAAGCACAATATCTTATGTTAAGCAAAACATAATTGGGTATTCTGTATGTTTGTGTGCTTTAATTACACTGAAGAACTCCACCTCTAAAATAACTAGAGCAAATTTTTATCAAAATGATGACAAGCACTAAATATCAAAGGTCCTAGCCATCACTATACTCTTTCACCTTCCTACTGCAAAATAAGGAAAAGGTATAGCTCTCTAAAATGTTACTGGAAAAATGCAGGGTAATTTCCTGGAGTAATGTGACAATGCCTATATTTATTAGTAAGAATAAAAGCCAAGATTAATTAAGGAAAAACTATGTAGCCATATAAAAAGTAATTTTATTCTTAGAAAGAGACTGAGGGGTAGAAAAAAATGAAAAAAAGAAAAGATGTGAATGTGAAGATGTGTACATGTATCAACTTCACACAATAAATGCAATCATTATGTTCCATGAACATGTACTAATAAATAAAGATAAATAAACAAAAAGAGACTGAGAAAAGCAGAGTCAACCAAAAGCAGGTTTAGGGTAGTAACACTTCTTCAAACAAGTATAAAACTTGAAACTTAAAAGGTACCAACCAAATTAATACATATAGAATAGCATTAAAAAAATATTTTTTCCTTTCTTTAATACTGACATCTCCCATTCCATCCGTTTGTTAGAGAAAACAGATAAACTCAAGGACCTACTTGTCTTATCCTATACTTGACCACAACTAGAACTGTTACCAAAAATTATTCACTCAGCTGTTATTCACCTGAACTTTAAGCAATGATAATACAATTCAAATCTAACAAAATACACTAGGAAATAAGAACCTGTTCAAGATATTGAGTAGTAGAATATCCTATTTTTCATAATATTCTTCTTATATATTTTACCAATGTAAAATAGTTGGATACTATGAGATAGGAGAATGAGGTCTGCTATCAACTTGTTAAATGGGAGGCCAAGTCCAACTTTACTTATAAAGGTTTATTATCCATACACATACAAGATGATTCAGCGATCATTAATTCTACCATGGAAAGTAAAAGGAAAATACTTCACAGAGTCTTATAAACTGCCCCATACCAAAAAAACCCTGCTACAATAAATTATTAAAAGTTCCATCACAAGAGTAAGGGTCAACACTATAACGTCTTTAAAAATCTTGAAAACCTGGGATGATAACTAGTAGACTTAGATTTCAGACAGATAATAACAACTAAGTCTCCTTCCAGAACAGAACAGGAGAAAGAGGAACAGCAGTTTCAATCCCCAAGTTGTGTATATATCAACAGAAATGCTGGGAGAATCAGCCAACAGTGTTGAGCCTAGATCAGTAATGGTGAATCTTTTCGATGACACAATGGCCCACTGTGGCACATGTGCCACAGGTTCACCATCAGTGACCTAGACCCTAAAAGAAATTGCTGTTTCTCTCACATAATGAAAAAGCTGACACAATGAGCCATTCCACATGAAGTTCTACAATGAGAAATTTCTTCCAAAAGCTAAGCTTACTGTACTCCATCTAGTGAAGTTCCCTGCTAATAGGCAAGTATAACAGACTGGGACCTAGCTTAGCCCTGGAGATGGCTACAATGAGTGAGAAAACTGTACAGCACGACCAAGGTTAGATCTCATGAGGGTACAACAGGACACAGCTGAGTGCTGAGAAAATACTTTTGGAGTTACTATTCTTATTTTTTTTTTTTTTGAGTTACTATTCTAATAAAAAGTCACATAGGAAGAAGACATTAGAATTGGTAAAAGCACATTTGCATTCTACTTCTAGGTCTACAATTAATGGCTCATTTGCTAAGTTATTTGATTTTTTTTTTTTTTTGGCTTGTCATGTTTAACCAATGATGGTCACAGACATCTATACCCTTGTAATATAGATGATGGACAGAAAAAAGACAATAAGCCAGGCATGCACATTCCTTAGGCATCCACCATAACCGTTTTGTTCAAACTATATGTGCAGGCAGTAAACATGCTATATGTGTTTAGCAAATACCTATTTACTAATGTGAAGTCAGTTTAAAGATTAATAAGGATATTATTAATAGGCAGTCAAAAATAATCAAAGATAAACATCCAACTTGCTGAGACTACCATTGTGGGGAGGACAAGGGGTGCAAATTAAAGTAAAACAGCAGAAATTGCTACCTGGTTACTTGGGTCTAGACCAGCATAAGAATTTCTTGAGCTGCAGCCGACTGGAGGTGTGGCCTCTCGAATGAACTCAGACATTTCAATCCCTCCACCAGGATCACTGTGTGAGAAACATGAGGAAAACAAAGAATAACTGTCATTATTCTGGCAACAATTTTCTTTTCATTCTCATTATTTTTTAAGTTATAATCTTTTTCTATAATACTAAGGCTTTGGTTAAGAGAAAAATGAACTTATTGTTGATTTTATAAGTCTGAAAAGTGGAGCTATTTAGTAACATCACTTCTGAAAATATTTAAAACTCTTATCTCAAACTGTCTACACCCGATCTAATATTAGAAACTAGCCTTAATTACAAGGATAGTATACTAAATATTTTATGATATGTTCCATAAAACCACTGTAGCAAAGAACCAACTGTCTTTTGTTTCCCAAGAGCAAAGAGTAATTGGTCAATTATAAACAAAGTAATCAGACATCACCGTAACTACATCTCTAGGAGAGAAGTCTGACTAAACTGCCAAGACAATCATGAAGTCATCTTAGTTAAACTATTTGGGATACTGTATTACAAAACTGGAAACCTAAGATTTGATTCTTGTGTATGCTGAGTTAAAGAGTCTAAGTTTAAAGAGGTAACAACAGGTATCAGAAAGTCAAAAAGGGAAAAAGTCCTAGTTTCAAAGAGCTGAAGAAGACCATGTAAAGTACTTAATCAGTGGGACCCCAGAATTAGAAAAAAAACTCACACCAAATTTCAAAACTCTTAGAAAATGTCAGTAAGTTTTCTCAGGAACACAACTATTAGAACAACTGATAATCCTATTTTTTGACCCGAAGTGTTTTACTCATTTTACCTGGTTTAAGAAAAAATGGAATATATTAAGTTTGTGAGCTGTTCAGGGTTAACTTCATTTATACCGGCTACATAGGATACACTGAGAAATTCTTCTGAACTGGGTAAATCTTACGGGTTTACACTATCATCACTACCAGCAGTCGATGAGAAACAGTCAACCATGTTAGCGTCATCCCTACTAGAACACCCGCTCTAGTAGACCCAAAGCCAGAAGATGGAGGGCAAAATGAAGGTTAAGGAATAAAATGTTCAACATCAGAGGAAGATAGAGAATTCTCACCTTCACTATTTGTAAATATCAGCTTTATTGGTGTATAATTTGCATACTATACAATTTGCTCACTTAAACTGTATAAATCAATGTTTTTTATTATATCCCAAAATGTTATGAAACCAGCACCATAATTTTAGAGTATTTTTATCATATTAAAACCAAACCCTTTTAACTATTTTCTTCTACCTTTTCCATTCTCCCCAGTACTAAACAACTAATAATTTTTTGTTTCCTAAATTTGCTCATTCTCAATGTTTCCTATGAACAGAATTATAACAGTACTATTTGTAATCTTTTGTGACTGGCTTTTCCCCCATAACATACAATTTTCTAAGTCCAGCCATGTTTACAGCATGTTCAGTACTTCCTTCCTTTAACTAGCCAAATACTCAGCTACATACACAGATTCCATTTTGTTTACACAGCCATAGGGAAGACAATCTTGCCCTCTTATTCATCACTTTTAGCCAACCCAAGTGATTATAATCTAAATGTAAGATTATTATTAATAATGAACAAATCAAGTATTACTAGGTACTTATTATATCCTAGTCATACAATATGCTATATTTATACTTTCTAATGAAATCTTCCCTAAAATCTATAATATAAATTATCACTATTCTCATTTAACAGATGAAAAAACTGAAAACTAAAAAAGCTAAAATCTTCCCTAAAGTCTCAGAGAAGTGAATAACATAAACAGTCATTGGCATATGAAGCTCAAGTGGGAGGTAAAAGTACAAATAATACTTAACACTCTTACAATGTGCTATTTGTTCTTCTTTTTCTCACACACTTTAATATAAATACTTATAACCAGTGTGAACCAAGACAAGGTTTGAATAAAACTCCCCATACTATTTCTATGAAACTGTATCATCCTTCAATAAAAAGGCATTGCAAACTGTTCTAGTTCAAAACTGAAGCGTAAACACCATTTCCTAGAATAAGGTTTCTTAACTTCTGCCCCACTGACATTTGATGACCACATAATTCTTGACTGAACAAGACTGTCCAGTGCATTATAGGATGGTTAGCAGCATCCCTGGCCCTTACCCTCTAGGTGTCAGCAGCATCCCCCAGCTGTGACAATTAAAAATGTCTTCAGATCTTGCCAAATGTCTTGGAGGCAGGGATCATTATAATCTAGAACTAATACTGGTCAGCACTGAGTCGGGAAAAAAGGAAGAACTACGAACAAGAACAACAAAATGGATGGCTCTTTTCTTATAAAAATCATGCAGCAAAATTTCTGTACTTCACCTTTCTCTACAAATTCACAAGCAGAACTTTCAGGCAAGCTATACAGGTTCTAAATATAACTGAACATATAAAGTGGCTGAGTAAGAGTTTCTCTTTATTAGCAAGATTCGAAGGGTTTTGCCAATGGAGATTTCAGCACATACCTGGAAAACATAGTGCGTTACAATTCTCACAGAAGCAAAGTGGTCTACTGCAGTAAGCAATACACCAAATTCAGGGAATCTCTACCTTTATGCCTTAATTTCCCCATCTGTTAAAAAAAAAAAAAAAAAACAGGTACAGGGAAAGGCAGAAAACAAAGGGTCTATTCTGAATTACAGAACAGACATCACAAAATTAATTTTTAATTATTAAAATTATATTTTGATCATGCTCTGGCTTTAACCAGAAACATCACAGCATCATTACAGTACTAGGTATATAATGATGCTTATAAAAATATGAATAGATAAAACAAATGCCTAAACAGAGTAAATCTCCTTCATGAAATAGCCTAAAATTCAACTTCATATAGTTGAAATGGATCATTACCTCACATTATAAGTGTTACTACCTGAGAAACAAACTACGGCCTCCAAAATATTTGTTTTTAAATCATTAAATTCAACATGTTAACTACTACTCTACTGAAATGTTAAAAATGTAATACAAACTTAAAGACTTTGACTCTTTTTCTAAAATAAAGAGTTAAGCACTTTTTAATGGCTGTGCCATGTAAGAGAGGTCAAGGAAAATCAGTTGGCTCAAGAAGATCTACCTTTTCATTCATTCATGCAACCAACTAATAGCTCTGATGCACCAACCACAGGTTCTCTGCAATAAAATAGACAACATTTTTCTTTTCTTTTTGTTTCCTCAGAACATAATACAAGATTCACAAGTATGAGTGAGAAAAGCTGATACCAAAAACAAAAACCTAGTCAGGCATGGGTGTATGGTATATCCGTAACCCTAGCACTCAGGGAGACTAAGATAGAATGATCACTGCAACACTGAGCTACATAGGGAGTTCAAGACCAGCCTGAACCACATATCAAGACCCTATCTCAAAGAACCACATAAACAAAGACCTAAAGCAAAGAGCTTAGCTTAAAAGAGAAGCTTATCTTTAAATTAGAAAAAAAAGCTAAGGATATACGTGGGTACTATCTCAATTTAACTATATACTAGAAGCTATCACCAATGAAAGCAATAATCAAGCATAAAGCTAGAAAAAAAAGATCATCAAGTGATAACTACAAAATAAGCTCATATAGAAATTTTAATAAGGTTGCTGAATACAAAGTAAACTGCCCCTTTTAAGGAAGAAAAAAATAGTTATAAGAAAATTTACAGAATAATATGATTCCTCTTCTGGAGAAAATTACATATTACTAAAAGGAATTTTTTAAAACATAAATTCACTATTGTAAAGATATACTCAGCAGCACAATCTATGTTCTCAAAACAATTCCAATAAAAATATCAAGTTCTTGCAGGCTTTTCCTGATATAGTCAATAAAGTTATATCAAAGTTATAACAAAGTATCAGAACAAGGTAGGTGGTTTCCCTAGCAGCTATCAAAAGCTGTGCCATTAAGGAACAGTAATCAGAACAGTGTGGTAAGGAGAGAGGCACCAGCAACTAACTAGATCAACCAAATAGAAGAGACATCAGAAACACCATCATCTACATACAAAAACACAACTGATGATAGAATCTACAGGTTTCTAAGGAAAAGACAGTTCTCCTAAAAAGTACTAAGTAAATGAGTCATTCATAAAAGAAAAAGTCTTAATTCCTACATGACAGTATAGATTAAAATAATTTCAGATAGAATTGAAATGTGAAAAGACAGATAAAATTTTTAAAAGACAATACAAAAGACTGTATGTGTAGGAAATAATTTCCTAACACAGAAAAAGGCTAATTATTTAAAATGCTAATTTTTACTAATTGTATGAATGTATAATAATTATAAATCTTAAGCAAATAAGTCACAAACCAGGTGATACTTGTAATACACAAAATTAGTAAAGGTATAGTATAAAATCTATTTTTAAAATACCTATTAATAAGAGAATAAAAATGAGACAAGAAAAATATCGGTACTAACGGAACAGAAAACGTAATCAGAAAATAAACACAAAATAAGATGCCCAGTAATCAGTACGGTGAACTAAAAATTACAATAAAATACATCTTACGCTCACCAAAAATGGCAAGTTTTGTTTATTCTGTTTTGAGACAATGTCTCAGTAAGTCACTAAATTGGCCAGGCTAAGCTCAAACTTCTTCACCAGAATGCACAATTTTATAGTTTGTCAATATCTAATGTTAATGAGGATATGGAATAATAAGGTCTTTTAGATATCACTGGTGAATATAAATTTGTAAAAACTTGTCAAATAATTTAGAAATATCTAATAAAACTGTAATGAAAATGCCCTATGAACCAGCATATATAAAGCACATATACATATGCATACTAGAAGATATAACCGATAATGTATTATTGGGGGAAATACTGCAAATAATCTAAATAGATATCAACAGAAAAATAGATTTTAGTTTATTTCTATAGTAGTAGGCTACCATAAAACTGAACATGACTAAATTACAGCTACAAACTTCAACATGACTAAAGCAGTAAAATAAAACACACTGTGTAAAAAGGCCCTCATGAGGAAATACACATAGATATTCCTTTTATAGAATGTCCTAAGAGGGGCCGGAAATTTAGCTCAGTGGCATAAATGCTTGCCTTGTAAATGTATGGTCATGAGTTTGATCCCCAGTACCAAAAAAAAAAAAAGGTCAGGGATTTAGCTCAGTGGCATGAGTGCCTACCTGGCAAGCACAAGGTTACAAATTCGATCCCTGGTACCCAAACAAACAAACAAACAAACACAAAAAAAACCCCACAAAATTTAGAATGTCTTAAAGCAGATAAAATAATGTATTCAGAAATACTTACAAAGTCCGTATCACAATTTTAAAAAAGCAAGAAAACTACTGACACAGTGAAAAGCATATTTGCTTTTAAAAGGAAAAGCAACACTACACATATTCTTATATACATTTTGGAATATACATTTTCCTATAAAATTTTTAAAAGTTAAAAAAAGAGAATTAATTCATTAACAAAAACTGCTATGATATTCAGAAGAAATAAGAACAACATTAAGAAGTTATCAAATATCAGGAATGCTTTAAGTGCTTCACATATAGTATCTTGGGGCTCAGGATTTGGCTTAGTGGCTTAAGCACCTGCCTAGTAGGCACAAGGTCATGAGTTTGATCCCCAGTACCAAAAAAGTAGAAAAGAGAGAAAAAAAATACAATATCTTATTGCTGAAATAACCAATGAGATAACACTATCACTGACCTTATCATTCTAATGAGAAAGCCAGGGTATAAAAAGTTTAGGTAATTTTTCCAGTTAATACAATTACGAATGATCTAAGCCTCAGCTGACTTGTATGCAGAGTCTACAGTCTGTTAGATTACCTCTTATCTTAATAAGGTAGAAAAAAAATGTGCAGAGAAGATCTTTTAAATCTAAAATTTTATAAAAGTTAATTTAATAAATGGAACTAAATGGAAAACTGAACTAAGTTCTTGGATAAGATGTCCTATTTTAAAGGTTGAATTTCTCCAAACTTAGAGAAACTAACATCAATATTCCAAGGGGATATTTTGGAGAATGAGCACATGGAAGTATCTCACAAAAAAGTTAAATATTCATAAGAATAAGATAACATTGAGAAAGAAAATATTGAGAAGGGAGTCATATTACTAGGTATTAAACACGCTGTAAAACCATTGTAATAAAACAGGACCACAGCCAAGCCTTGGAGCACACATTTGTAATCCCAGATGCTTAGGAACCTGAAGCAAGAGGATCACAAATTTTCAAGGCAGCCTAGGCAACTTAGACTCTGTCTCAAAATAAAATATAAAAAAGGGTTGGGGTTGTAGTTCAGTAAGAGTGCCTGTGGGTTTGACCACCAACCATAAGAAAAGGGGGTAAGGGACTAACATATGGAACAAACAAGACATTAAGATCAGTGGTATAAAAAACAAATTTTAGAAACTCACAGAAACACAGATGACCCTACATATCCACGTGTTCTGTATCTACAAAGTTAACCAGCCATCGATCAAAAATAATTCCGGGGAAAAAAATATGTCTGTTCTAAACACAGCCAAACAATACAGTGTAACAAATATTTATATACCATTTACATTGTGTCCTGTATTTTAAGTAAGATGATTTTAAAGCATACATGAAGATTAGCATAGGTTATATAAATATACTATTTTATTTTCTATGTAAAGGATGTAAGCATCTATGTACTATGGTATTCACAGACATATGGAGCCAATGTCCAGCAGATACCAACGGGCTACTCTATATGTATGCTACATGAAAAAAGGCATTGAAAATTACTTAGGTGGGGGGTGGGGCAGGGGCTTAGCTCAGCAGCACAAGTCGTGAGTTTGCTCCCTAGTACCAAAAAAAACCCAAAAAATTACTAGGGGAATGCATTATTTATTGAATGGGACAAACCAAAACTAATTTTGAACACTTTCAAACTGATTATACTTTAAAGTAAAAAATAAAATGATAAAAATAATGATGTAGATACAAGTGACTATGTAATAAGGAGGAATGAAAAATCTTACAAACGTGATATCAAATGCAGAAATAAAAAATATAAAATAGATCATATAAAATTAACTGTAGCACATATATAGACAAAATACATAAACTGAGTAGAAATATTTGACATAGAAGAAAATACTCTTGATAAATATGTATCTTCTCCAAAGCAATAGCAAAAACCTACCAATAGAAAAATGTCACAATGCCACAAAATAGCAATCACACACACACACAAAAAGCCCTCTATTTCACTAGCAACCCGAAAGCAGAAATATTAAACAATGAGATATCTATCACTATTTTTTTGGCAAAGTATTTCTCAGCGTTGTCCAAAGTACAAAAAAAAAAAAGAAGCCTTCAGACAGCTGGTCACAGTAGTTAAATGGCAAACTCTTCTGAATGCTGATGATACACATATCAGAAAACTTAGAAACATACATAGCTATTCCAATAATTATATCTCTTGATAAATTATGGTAAAACATTTAATCATTTGAAATTTAATCATCACACTGATCTACCATCTTGTTTTGAAGTCCTATCATGCTTTTGTTCTTCTGCTTTGATTGGTTCTATCCTGTTGTGTTTTATTAGATTTTATTATGTGTGATGTTACAGACAAATTTTTTGAGGAAAATGAGGTGTTTTTTTTTTGAAAATGAGGTATTATAGCAGTCACTGTTCATTTCCTGTTATTTGGTCTTGAAGTCCTATAATGCTTTCATTCTTTTGAATTTTTTTTTTTACTATATTGTTATGTTTGATATCATTGTGTGAAGGTATTCTCAACTATTTCAAAGAAAACAGACATTACGTTAACTGCTGTTGATGTCCAGTTGTTTTGCTGTAAAGTGCTATATTGCTTACATTTTCCTGTTCTGATTTACTTTGTTTCATTGTTTTCTTTTGCTCTCTTTAAAATAAAAAAAAAAAATCTAAAACAAAAAGGCTTGGTATCATAATAGTTATAAGAAAGGTCCTTGATTTTAAGAAAATGCGAACAGATGATTAAATAAGATAATTTTACTTAATGATTAACACAATGAGTACGATTATTAGGAGTAAAATACGTGCTTGGCAAATAATAGAATAATTGTAAGAGGTAAGAAAAAATGCAATTGAAAAATGATAAAAACTTCTGATGCAGTGGAAAATACATAGAAATATTATATGCTTTCACAGAAGTGTGTCAGCTTTTCATTACATCATTATATCTTAAAACTTGAATAAGTTTATTCTATGCTGAGTGTAAGCAGGGTTGGGAGCAAAAAAGCATTCAGTTGAGTGCTTGATTTGATCTTTCTCATCTTGGTTTCGAAAACTGTAAATCAAGAATAATAACAGCATCTACCTCACAGAATTGTTCTGAAGACGGAGTAAACTTGTACATGTCAAATGTTTGCCTGAGGACTTCTTTTAAGAATTACATCAATGCCCATAATTGTAGCCCTTTAGGAGACTAGGTCCAGAGGATTCCAAGTTTGAGTCCAGCCTGGGTAATTTAGCCACACTGTGAGACCTTGTATCAAAATTTTAAAAATAAAATTTAGAAAGGGCTAAGTATGTAGCTCAGTGTGAAGGCGCTGGATTCACTGTACACAGTGCCACAAAAAAATGGAAAAAAGAAAAGAAAAAATTACAATAGTAATATCCACTATTATTTGTGTAAAGTCATAAGACATTTTTACCTCTTAAAAAAATACATTTCTCTGTCAAAGATAGAAAGTTGGTGGAGCCAAGGAAATACTTTACAATGTAATTGTGATCAACTGGGTCAATACTTTAGCTGGACAAGGAAGGGAAACCCTCCAGGAGGAGGCGACATCTTCACCCAATCGGAATCCTGACAAATTAACCTTGTAAAGACTAAGAAAAGAAATAGCTACATTTCTAAGGCAAGACTATAAAACTGAAAGACATTTACAAAGACATTAAATGACAAATGCAGATCATCCCTAGAAAATAGCATAATTTTTTAAAGACCTACATATATTCTACTTATATGTATACATTTTTAAGTGCTAACATTTATTAACAGGGTCTCACAGTGCTGCTAAATTACCCAGGCTGGACTCAAACTTGGGATCCTCTGAACTTAGCCTCCTAAAGGGCTAGAATTATGGACGCTAATGTAATTATTAAAAGAAGTTCTCAGGCAAACATTTGACACATACAAGTTTACTCCATCTTCAGAACAATTCTGTGAGGTAGATGCTGTTATTATTCTTGATTTACAGTTTTCAAAACCAAGGTGAGAAAGATCAAATAATACTTATTTCTTTAGGCTATGTTCTCTTTTTGCTAGGTTTTGGTTTTTGTGTAACTGTAATATAGTAGCATATTGTTCTAACTTGTTTAATAATGAGGCCAAAGATATCAACTTACTCCCCAAAGCATGCCAATTAGCTTTGTTTTAATATTACAATCTGTACTTGTCATTATACCTATGGTGCTATGATCTGATGCTGTCTTAAAATAATATAGAGACAACAGGTACAGCACAGTAACACCTTTATATACACACCACAATCAATACTGACAAAATGAGAACTAGAGGTTTCCTTACCTAGGCCCATTGCTGTCTTTTCTCCTGGTTGAACAGTTCCCTTGTTCAGCTTTGACTCGCTGATCCATAAATTCATTTGCGCTCCTATCTATGACTTCTCCAGCATCCAGTGCTCTGTGTAGTCGATAGTTGACCATCTTCAGAACAATGAAAACAGCAGCAATCACAGGACAATAAACTGCTACTATAATCATGGAAGAAGGAAGAGCCTTTAAGAGAAAATAAAGATATGCATTTTAGAATATTTTATGAAATATTTATGAAAAATTTATATCTAAAATCATAAACACATTTATGTACAAAGCATTTATGTTACTAGTATTAAAATGCAAAGATGTGAGACGGGGCAGAACTAAAAATGGTAGATCAGTAAGCAGCAAAATACAGAGCCTCCCTGAGAGAAACAACTTAGATACTGGAACAAAACATCCTAGAGAGGATCAGACAAAGGGACCTCTCCACCCAGGAAGAAACTCTCGACCCAAGAATCAAATTCGAGGTCCCGGTGCATCCCTGAAGCAGCTCAGAGTCAAGGCCACAGCACTCTGGAGCCACCCAAGCTCGTGACATCAGTGAGCTTGCTGCTAGAGTCACAGAGCCACGATCACGCTGAAGTCAGGGGTCAGCAAGACCAGTGAAAACGGAGCCAGCGTGGAGACCCGCACTAAACCATGGTGAGGGCTCCGAATAAGACCCTCCCACGGGAAAGGGGCCACCAACTGGACACACTGGAATCAGGCAGGAAGAGCATAAACTAGGAACAGGCAGTGATTTCAATTGGTTACTCCCTACCCAGAGTAGATTGGTGGTATCTGCTTGTCCTGGATCATGCCCTTGGTCAGGACCCAATAACCTGTCCAGAACCACTTCCACACTTGTAGCACATACTAGTGTGGTGAAGGCCCCAGCTGGTTGACTGTCTCCAAGGGGGACGGGGGGCAGCATATGCCACCCCTGCTTGCACCCTTCTTGCACCTCAATGGCCAACAGCAAACTGGAGAGAGCAGAAATCCCTAGCCAGCGCACTTCAGAAGAACCATAACCAACAAGTAAAGGGGCTGGGACCTCCACTATACACCTGTATGGAAGAAACCAAAAACATGACAAAGAGAAAGAAATACAAAAAAACCCCCAGCCCCTAACCCTGTGAATACTGATACAGGAGAGGTAAATACAGAAGAGACTGAGGGCAGCAAACATGCGATATCAGAAATGGCATCAGCAGACATAAAGAGATATCTGATAGAATTGGATTCCCGGTCAGGGAACCATATGATAGAATTCTGGCACGGCAAAATCCTTTCAATATCTTCGTGACATCATAGAAGAGTTCAAAACTGAAATACTAACTGAAAAAAGGCAAGATATAAAGAGATTAATAAAAGAGATGCTAAGCACCTCTCAAGAAGACATAGATGAAAGAATGGAGGGAACAAAAAAAAAAAGGAAAGAAACGTTCGGTGAAGAATATAAAGATAATCTAGAATACATGAAATAGATTCAAAGTGATTACCAGGAAATTAAAAACTACATTGACAGCTGGAAAAATTGCCTGACAGAAACTAGAGATAGATTAACAAAACTTGAAGAAAGTTTTGCAATGTCCTTTTCGCAAAAGGAAAGATCTCTTTAAAATAACAAGGAAACAGGCAGTAACAATACAAACGCTAGGAGATGACAAGAGGATCTATAACTTAATAAAAAATGTGAGTCAGCAAGCCCAGGAGTAAATACAAAAGCTATTCACAGATATAATTAAGGAAAACTTCCCAAGCATAGAAAAAGGCAATGATATTCAGATGAGGCATACAGAACTCCAGACACTTACAACCAAAATAGAGCTATATACCCAGACATACAATAATCAAGATTCCAGAAATTAGTAACAAGAACAAAATATTAAAAGCTGTCAGAGAAAAGAAACAGGAAAACCCATCAAAATCACAGCAGACTTCTTGACACAAACCATCAAATTAAGGAGAGGTTGGAACGAAGTATTCCAAACCCTGAAAGAAAATAACCTCCAACCCAGATTGATGTACCCTGAAAAACTGTCTCTCAAAACTAATGGAAAAACAAGATGCTTCCATGACAAAGAGGAACTGGGGGAGTTCATGACCACTAATCCAACCCTACAAAAAATACTGAAGGACATTCTAGAGAGAAAAAAATACCAGGATTTCAGAAACAGGGGCAGACAGTGGAATGAAGGAGAAAAGTAGACAACCAATGGCAGAAAAATAGCATAGCAGAAATGAGGCAGAGAAGGTTGGCTATAATCTCTAACACAGATGGCCTTGATACACTAACAAAAACACAGGCAGAGTAGATCAGGGGGTAGGGTCCATCGAGATGCTCTGTATAGAAAATATAATTAACGTTAAAGAGGGTTTATGAACTGAAAGTCAAATTCAGAAAACAACTGGCCCCATGTGACAGGGAACCAGAGAGAAATAGGGGCAAATCCACCAACCCCTGCAGATAGGTTGGAAAGACATGATACTTTTGTGCAGCAGAGAACTACTCAGCTACAACGAAGGAAAACCTAGAGGCTTTTGTAGGTAAAGGAATACAACCTGAGATCAAGTCCAGGAGTGAGAAGGTTCGGAACCACTTAGATAAATAACAGGTTGCATCCCCCACAATCTAAAAACTAAGGGAATTGGTGGGGACCCAAAATGTGCAGTGCACCCTGTAGGAGTGAAAAGGAAAGAACTGTCTAAAAAAGGAAGGCAGAGGATATTGTTAATAGTTTTTAAGGATTTAAAATCCACATTACTCTCACTGCTCTGTTTAGATGGATAATATTCTGTTCCAGTTTGTTTACTTTTACTAGATTTGAGGGCACAGACAGCTATCCCGAAAATAGCAGGATATAGTATGGTAATCATCCCTAATTTCCTATTAACTTAATCTGAAGCCCTGTATAATTTACACTGTCTTATTATGACTGATCTTATTTGAATCTGGTTTGTTAGATAGCTGTTTTGTACTGACTGATTTTATTTGAATCTGTTATGAATGATTTTTGTATCAAATCTGAGAGTATAGGCAACTACACTGAAAATGACAAGATTTGCTAGGATACCCACTCTGGTTTGATTATTATCTGCTTTTGAAGTCTTTTAATGTCTCCAGTGTTTCATTTTTATTAATATTGTTATGTACTGCTATATTCAATTATACTATGCCTGATGATACAGACAATTCTATAGAAGATAACAAGAGACATCATAGTAACCACTGTAGATCACCTTGTATTGCAGTTTTATATGACTTTTTCATTTCAGGTTTTTCTAGGAATTTGTTTTGTTTTGTCTTCCCTCTAATACAGAAAGGATATACATGTAGAGACTCATGCACGCATAGAATTTATAAAAAGTTTATGAGAAACGACTATATAATGCATGATGCAATGAACAACTATTTTGAAGAAAAAGACATTACAGTACCCAGTGCAGATTCTGTAGCGTCATGATGTGAAATCCAGCAATACTATTATTCTTTGTTCAGAATGATTTTAGTCTGTTTTGTTTAATTTCAACATACATGAAGGTATGGACTATATTGAAGAGAATGAGATACACTATGACAGCCATTGTCAACTTACCTATTGTCTGGTCTTAAAGACCTAAAACGCCTTCATCACCCTGTTTGGATCAGATTTATACTACATTGTTTTTAATGCATTCACTGTATGTGAAGATATGGACAACTATTTGGAAGAAAACAAGAGACAATATGATAGATAGTGAAGATCTCTGGTTGCTTTGAAATTTATGTCTCTTACATTGCTTTCTTATGTTCTGTTTTGTTGTATATAATTTTACCCGCTTTAAAATTAAAAAAAAAAAAAAAGATTTGAGACTATACTGCCCAATACAAAAGCCACTGGCTGCTGTGACAATGCACACTGGAAATATGGTTTGGTTTAAATTAAGATGTACAGTGAAACTGAAAGAATGCAGATTTCAAAAATTCAACATGAAAAAATATAAAGTTCCTCAATTCTTACATTATATGTTGAAATAGTATTTAGATTATACTTGCTAAATAAAACATTACTGAAATTAATTTCACCTATTACTGTTTATTATGGCTACTAGAAAATTTTAAATTACCTACATGGCTCATATTATATTTCTTTTAGAGAATAATGATGCATAGTCCATAGAAAGTAGCTTAAAAAACAACTGGAGACCTAAGTTGTCATTATCAGCTATATCTGGCTAAGTCAGGGTTGTGATCCAATATAATCCCTATTTATGTGTTCTGTGTAACATTTTAAAAGATACAAACATTACATTCCAGAAAACTATAGAGGTTAAAACTGTCATGACAATAATCTTGGAACTGTGACTATAAAACCAGGTAAGACATACAAAATAAGCAAAATCCAAGTCGAATTTATTTTAAAACACTTAAATGCTTGTAATACTCAAAAATTATAGCCTGCAAATAAAACTAAAAGAATTCAGAAAATAATCAGATAATAAAAATATGAATTAAAATAAGCCAGTCTCATTTTTTTCAAGTTTTTTCAAATCCCCCTTGTTGCTTGTTTTTCCAAATACACTTTACCCAAGAAAAAAAAGAAGAAAAATGGGATGTCTCTCAGTGTAAGGAACCTAGATTCAATCCCCATTGTCACACACACACAAATACCAAGATCAAACATAGATATTACTAAAGAAGCAATGATCTGAGAATGAATAAAATAAAAAAAGATTTTGGTAATGAATAAAGAAAATCCTTAGAGCAGCTGTATAGGGAAATGTTGCTTTTTAAGCACAGAAATTTTAGGCCAGCAGCAAATGGAGTAATTACAATTTTGCAACAAAAGACCAAGTGTTTTATATCCAGCAAAACTGACTGGTGGCACTGCTGGGGTTCCTGGACTCAGGTAGTGTCCCTCCCTGAATCCTCCCTAGGGCTTTCAAGATGGTTGAAGAGGGCCTAGGAAGGAAGAGGATGCACCCCCAGAAGCAGAGCAGTGCGAGGCATGTGTGAACATTCACTAAGACTGTAGTAACTACAAGCGACAGTATTAATATCACTCTGAGAGTGTCAGTATGGTGAGATGACTAGGGAACATTCAAGAATCTGAGCACCCCTCTGCCCCATGTCCCAGATACCATGTGAGAGCCACAGTAAGGAAGAGGTTAAATAAAAATTCTACTTGTGTCAAATCTGGAATAGATAAATAAGT